CCACCCAACACAGAATTCCACCCTTCTTTTTTCTGCCATCCAGGTATTCACTGGGCATCTTGTCTTTTCCAGGCACAAGCCCACCACGAATGTCGCCCCATCAGTAGTCTCTACCTGCAGCCTCTCCCTCCACATGCTTCTTTACCCGCAAGCCTTCAGCTCTCTTCTCCATCCCGCCCTGCCCATCTGTCCCCACCCTAACTGTCCGTCCATCCCCGCCCTAACCGTCCGTCCCCACAAAACAGAATTCGAGTCCATATTATCTACAGCTAACAGCCATCGCTCTTTTTCTGTGACGTCAGGCTCATCCACATTTTCTGCACAGGCTTCCCACTTCCCGATTCTGTCCAGAAGGCAATAAAAACAGAACCCACCACCACCACCTAATCTCCCTTGTCAGATTCAAAAAGATAATGGTTTTGAAAGTGTTTCCCATTAAGAGAAGTGCTTTAGAGGACATCATGTAAGAAACACCATTCTTTACACTGTTTTCCCCCTGATGGCAAGTAGGAGCATGTTTTTGAGGGGAGTGTCAGAAGGGACTCATCCCTCCGTCCGTCCCTCCATCCAAACTCTAGTTTGGAGGTGGCAGGCTGGAGAAAACACCTTATCACTTTTGAACTTCTGGGTATTTCCAGAGAACACTGCACAGACACAAGGCCCGGACACGCCACTGCTTCCTTCTCCTTCGGCATGCGGCGCCTCTGACTATTCCCTCCAGATTGTCTGTCGGAAGTGCTTCTCCTTGGCCATCGCCCGTCCTCCCCCTGCACCTGCCCCCACTGATGCACAGAATGCACAGGGGTGAGCCAATTAGTGCTATTCTTTTTAGAAAATCTGATTTAGGGAGTCACCTTGATGTGAGTCTAACACAGCTATACATGAAGTTTAGAAATGAACCCCACTGTCTCCATCATGAGAAAGGCCGGGTGAGCTCAGCAAGCATCCCAGTGCCTGGTGGTGGCTTCCCCCCAGGGGGGGAAGCAGACTATAGGGCCAGGAAGTCCCCAGAGAGGGAAAGAACCCTTGTTCCTTCTATCCTAAGTTACTGTGAATGGGACACGGTTGATACCTTAATAACGAACCTGTTTCTTTCTAATCCATGACCTTCTAGGCCCAACGAACGAGCTCACATAGGAGGGGCCGGAGCCTTCCCCACTCCTGACATCTCCCCTCTCAGGTCCTCGGCTAAGGAGAATGCCCGATTTGTCACCAGTGACCTGGGGGGAGAGGACAGGTCTGCTGTCACCTGATGACATGGACTGATGGCAGCAACTGTCCTACTATCCCTGATCGCCAAGTCTCCAGTCCTAAAATGGGCCCTACTTGCAACACCCACCCACCACCCACCTACCGTCCCTCCGCCAACTATTCTGTGTTCCCCCCGGGTTCTCCTAGAGCAAAACAAACCTAAGGATGCCTTACCCGGCAGGCATTGTCTTGAATTTTGCAGTCAGAGCCTTCCTCTTACATTTGGGAATCAAGGAGGCAAAGAGGAGGACGGGCTGGTTTGTGCATATCCCCTGAATAACTCAAAGGACCCGCTAGGTTTTCATTTAAGTAAAGATGCAGAATAGAAGATTCACACCAGAGGGATACTGAAGAATGGAGGTTTAATGTTCCCCAGTTTGGCCTTAATTGTAGCAAAGTCCTATTTGGAGAAACAAGTGTTCCTTAATCTAGCTTCTCAGATTCCCCGAACCACCGGCCTTGTGGCTCAGTGGCTGGTGCCAAATGAAGACAAGTCCTGTTGAAAGCAGAGGTAGGAAAGATGCAAACTGCTTTTAGAAGAAAATACCACCTAGCTGAGAAGAGCATATCTTTGTCTACAGTAATGCTTCTGCCTCCAGAGCCCGGGAATATAGCCAGGCCCTCTGCTGAGGCAGGAGTGTGCCCCTGCCCCCCACCCCAACCAGCTTAGAGAGGACTCCCTCTGCAGCTTCCCGCTCCTGGAAATCCGGTTTTTGGTTTGTTTGTCTTTTAAGGAGCAACTCAGAGCTTGAACTCATGACCCTGAGATCAAGACCTGAGCTGGGATCAAGCCTCGGACGTTCATCCGCGTGACCCCCCCACCTCCGCCAGGCGCCGCTGGAAATCTGTTTTGACCCCGAAGTTCCTGATGTACAGTTTGCAAGCTGTTCTCTTTAGTTGGCAGTGAATAGGTTCCCAATGAATGCGGTCTTGTTCTTTTCATGGAAACATGTTAAAGCTTCTCTCCCTGCCTCCTGGGAAAGGAGCAAAGAACACCCTATGGCCGAGGACACCCCAGGGAAAGATGCCCCTGAGAAGTGTAGGCTTCAAGGATATTCCAAAAACGGGGAGAGAGCCGTAGCTCCGAGCAGTGGTTGGTGGGAAGCAGGGGTCTGCACCCCCCGCCCCTGAGAGAGCACCCCTCCCCCCCAGCCGTGCCACATGGTACCCCACCTCCTCAGCCACCTGATTCCTCTGCAGCCCCGATGGGCTCAGTTTCTAACCCCTATCGCCCCCACTCGTTCTCCTTCACCTACGTTACCCCTATCCGAGCCGGCCGTCTGACAGTGAAAGTATTCGTTCATTCTTGCATTCAACTTGTTTTCAGTAAGCTCTTCGTGCAGAAAGCTGGACTAAAGGTCTCCAAAGGCAGGACTCTGTTCCGTGTTGCTTTCTGCAGCGGCCTGGCCAGGGTCAGGCGGTATTCTGGTCAAGTATCGCCAGGACAGAGGAGGTAGGGGGGAGCCCTCGTTCAGGGTGTGTGCTGATCTCTGGTGTAAGTACCCCCACCGTAGCTAGGCTGAACCTCCCAGCATGACATCACTGACTTCAGAAATGAAGAATATGGGGGTGCCTGGGGGGCTCAGTCATTGGGTGTCTGCCTTCGGCTCAGGTCATGGTCCCAGTGTCCTGAGATTGAGCCCCGCATCGGGCTCCCTGCTCGGCGGGGAGCCTGCTTCTCCCTCTCCCACTCCCCCTGCTTGTGTTCCCTCTCTCGCTGTGTCTGTCAGACAAAATCTTAAAGAAATGGGGAAAATGTGCTGGCTAGAGCATGCCATGTGTCACAGATACCCCACTTACGGTGGCCTTCTGAGCTTCAATGGTTTTATGAAGCAAATGTCAAGGATTCAGATTCTAGATGTCTTCCCAAACTTGATTAAACAATCTCCCCCCCTTGCTCATCCCCAACCCTTTTTCATGTGGAGGACAGGGATGGAAACGGAACGGAGGGGGGATTAATCATCAAAAATTCAGCAACTTGATTTTGCTTTGTTTCCATTAGGAATCTACTTTCTTGGTGGTAGAGCTGGATCTGTAGAGGGATGGAGATCCTTTCCCAACTCCCCTTGCTAATCCCATTTCTTCTCCCTCTTTTAGGCTTTCATGAGGCTGATGGTGCTATATATAAATTATATTATGCTTATATATATATATAAATTATACTTATCTGAAAAGCTTAAGGTCAAATTGTTCATATTTTGGAAAGGTAATATGGTACCTATTCTAAATATTGCATAAAATTTGCAGTGGGTCTTGCACCACCTTATAATCAAATACACTAATATTTCACCAGTGAAGTATACAAATATTCACATTGAGTGGGATAAATAAAAATTATAAATAGGAAAACTAAGTAGGCTTTAGGAAATAAAGATGAGACATTGTGGACCAGTGTTCTAGGTTCTAGGCTGGTCATCCATCTCTTCCCCTGGGCACTGAATCCTTGGAGGACAGGCTGTGCTGCTCGTCATGTTTAAGATTCCCAAGAGAAGCACTGGATTCATCGCATATACCCGCCCCCCCAACACACACACCCCACTGGGGTTATTGACACTGCCTGGAACCACGTTTGTTCCTGGAAAGGCTGCTAAACCAGAAAACAACGTGTACCCCTTCCCTTGGATTTATCTGGGCCAATGATCTGAGCTCACAATTCTTTGCTTACTTTTAATACAATTTGGTAAAGGAACTGGAATGAAGGGAAATGAGATTGCCATAAAATAGGACACAATAAGATGGAAATCCAGACCACTAGAAAATATCATCCAAGATAGATCTACAGGACATCGTAGTTCTGTTTCAGATTCCAGAGGCTACGTGAGCTTCATTTGTAATTGTGGCTTAGACAGTGATTTCAAATCCATAACTTTGTTAATTTAACATTGTGCATTTATAAGTAGACAAAAAATACCATTGCTGAGGCATTGGATAATTCAAAGTATTTAGATGAAGAGAGAGATGATTTCATTACCCATCTCCAGCTCTTTTCAGCATAATGCATGCTTTCTTATGTAATTGAAGATAATGAATTTTTTGCCATTTGAGAATGAATCATTGCAGCACTCAAGGCCTGGAATTTGCAAGGTCATAAAATCCTTAAATAGTCTTATTTACTCATCAAAGAGGATTCCATTTCCATATAATTGATATTTGAATTGTTTAGTGACGACCATCAAACTTTTAATTAAATTCAATTTTTTGAATCATCTGAAGTACAAACAAGAGATGAAAGAACAAGAATAAAGAATTTATAGATCCTGAACGTTTGGAAATTCTATTTACATCTGAGTAGATTTGAAGAATTAAACGGGAGGGCAGTGGGGGGCACACTAGCGTAATTAAAACAGGCTCCATTTGAACTGCTTCTGACATAGGGCAGACAAAAGTGCTGGTTTCTTTCTGACATCGTTATGCAAATTGTCAAGGAAAATCACTCTCAGCCCATGCCTGGCTTGCAAAATCAGGTAATTAATCAGTATCCTTGACACACTGTCAGTTTCAGATGCTAATAAATTGAGTTTGGGTGTGCAATAGGGCTTTGGACTCCATTACAATACTACAAAGCTCAAGTGACTGTTTTTAGGATTTAGGAATAACTTTCTCATTGACACCCAACAGCTGTCTGTAAGCAGCCTGATTCTTCTGTGCCAGCCGAATTCTCAGGTTTCTAGTTTAGTTCAATTAAAAAAAATAAAATCAGTCCTGGAAAAGGTTTCTATAAAATCATGAGCACCAAAGCTCACGCCTACCTCAGTCTAAAACGAGAAGAGGGCGTAGGTTAAACCGCTCACACCGAGTTTCTAGGAGTCTCCGCCGCGACCGTTCCCCGAGGCTCTGGATGCTCTTCCACACGCAGCACGGAAGCTCCATCCCCAGGAACCCGGGTTTGAAGGAGATAATGGCAGTTCTTCTTTGCTCCATTTCACTGTATAGATTTCTAGGGCAAGGGTTTCAGGCAACCCTTTGGGGTAGAGAGAACGTGGGGAGCACAAGAATCAGGGTTGGCGGTTATCGTGGAAGCTGGAATAGCAGACTGTCGCTTCTCTTGTTGAAGCTACTCTGGAACGAGGCGCCGTCTGTGTGTGCAGACACAGCTAGCCCATCCCCCCAGCCCCCGTTCACCTCCCGGGTCCCAAACCCGTCTTGACTGGGGCCAGAAGTGAAGCACGGCTGCCTCCTCTGCCCTCCCCACCCCGGCCACTGCGTGGGCATCACTCCTGCCCTTGGTTGGACCTGACCTCACAATCCCACTCCATCCCCGTTCCTGGGTGTCAGTCTCTCAGTGACCGGGGGGAACCCCTCCAGTTCCCTGTCCCATTCCACGCTCTTACACGGTCACACGCAGCCCAGACGTGTGTGTGCACACCGCACCCTCCCACCAGGGCTCCAGGGCACCGACTTCTCCATCCATGCTTGCACTTAGTGTGACTTCACTTAGGAAGCTGGGCTAAGTTCGCTCACCCATGGGATGGACCTTCTGCTGTGGAGCCTCTGCCAAGGTTGCAGAGGGCAATCGTGTGAGAGGCTGAGCACTGTGCGTCGTATCCGGTACGCATGATGGTGGTAACTGTGGGTCCCGGTCTCTGCCATCATACTTGAGCCTCAGCCACCTCTGTCCCTGGCCCCCACACCCCGTGCCTCTGTTCCTATAACTGGGTTTCCCATTCCTCTTCGGTACGTGCGTGGCCCCCCAAGCCTGCCACGAGGCCCCGAGCCCTGCCTTTCCCAGCGCGGCCTCTTCCTCTGTGCACATGCTTCTCGCATGAACTGCCTGACTCACCTCAAAAACGCCACCAGCCACCCTTCTTCCTGGCAGCCTGCAGACCGGCCACCTTGCCCACCACCTGCCGCCCTGGTCTCACCACGCCCGCCCTGTCTCTCTCGGACAAGCCACGAGCTGCCGAATCCTACCCTCAGAGCTGTAGTCAGAACAGAAAACCATGCCATTTCTGAGCTGCAGTTTCATTTATGAATAAATAGGATCTACAGGATTCTGATGAGCAGAGAAACCAACTCAGTTTTAAGAGTGGGACACTCAGGAACATTTTTTAGAGAGATTCCTTTCAAGCTAGCTATAGTTGCTAATTTTCTAAGAATTGTAATTCATAAAAAAATTGAAAAACTATATTAAACAGGGTTATCAATTAAGAGGTGCGTGTGACCCTTGGGTGACCATTACTTGTCACCATTGACCTATAGATGAAATCATTCACTCACCTGGTCCTAACCTGTACAAATTAGAGGGTATGTGGTTTCTCAGCGTGGTTTTCAGGCCACCTGCCTCAGAATCAGGAAGGTCTTTCTCAGATTCGTTAGATCTAGGCTTAGTGCCTACATAGAGCATTAAGATAACCGTGAGTTTAGTGGCCAATAAATCTATAAAATAAAAATCTTGAAGTCTTTACTTCACAGCGATCCATATCCATCGGCGTAGTTGGTGGAAGTGTCCTGATGCCCCATTTCCGACGTGTGTGTTCGGGGAGGGCTCCTCACACCACCGACAACCGAATCTCTGACACCAGTGGGGTGTGTCCTAGAATCCCACTCCATCCTGACCCTGTAGCCGGACAGAGCATCAGGTTCCACAGTGCAGGGACTCCATCCCGAAGACTTTCTGATTGAGCGATGAGAATGAAAAAATATGAGCAAAGTGTTGAAAATAAAAACAACACAATCTTGAAAAAAAAAAAAAAGCCAACCATGTGATGGCTGAAAATGCCTGCCAGCTAAGGGCCAAATTTGAATTTCACCAAAGGCAGCTGAGTATTAATGTGTAATGTGTGAAGGCTGGGTTTCAAACGACCCAGGGGGCCGCACCATGACTCCGCCATGCATCCAGCCCATGAGTCTCTAACGTGTTCATGCCTGGGACTTGGGGAGGCAGGGGAATGTTGAGGGGACTTTGGTTATTTTGACTTCAATAGGGTTAACTCCAGCCATGATTATTCTGAATGATGAGCACACACTTTAAAGACCAAAGCTGTACATATTCAGAATATATGGTGTATTTATTTAAATAGCAAAGAATAAATAGGAAGATTTAATCTACCCACTCACAGCAATGGACAGATCATCTAAGCAGAAAATAAGGAAACAAGGGCTTTGAATGACACACTGGACCAGACGGACTTCACACATATATTCAGAGCATTCCATCCTCAAACAGCAGAATACACATTCTTCACAAGTACACATGGGACATTCTCCAGAATGGATCACATACTGGGTCACAAATCAGTCCTCAACAAGTACGAAAAGACTGAGATCATACCGTGCATATTTTCTGACCGAAATGCTATGAAACTTGAAAAAACTGGAAAGACCACAAATACATGGAGGTTAAACAACATGGAAAAAAAATTAAAAGACTTAACCTCGTATGGAACCCTAAAACATAAGCTGTAAAAGCTTATTTGTTACTGGATGCCTTATTAACCCACTGAGTGTCAAGTCAGGAGCTGTTGGATTAGCTGGGGGTGGGTACCGGGGCGTCTGCGGAGAGGGGAGCCCCAGTGAGGACACACATTGAAAATGCACACCCTAAACGGGGCTTTGTTCTGCTTTGTCTTTAGTCACAATGTCTGAGTCATTTATAAACTTCAGATAATGTTGATGGGGTAAGCATTTTGTTTGTTAAAAGATTATGGGGGCACCGGGCACCTGGGTGGCTCAGTTGGTTAAAAGATTATGGGGGCACCTGGGTGGCTCAGTCGGTTAAGTGACTGCCTTCCACTCAGGTCATGATCCCAGGGTCCCGGGATGGAGCCCTGCGTCGGGCTCTCTGCTCAGCGGGGAGCCTGCTTCTCCCTTTGTCTCTGCCCCTCCTCCTTTCGTGCTCTCTCTTGCCTGTACTCTCTCGCTCTCAAATTTTTAAGAAATCTTTTTAAAAAGTTAAATATTAAGAACTGCTGAGTAATACTGCTCTTTTATCAACCAATGACCCTTTGGGGGTGTCTCTGAGCTGCATAAATTTTGACATAGGCACATTTTATATAATATATAAAGGCAAGAGTAACATGCAATTTTTCGAATAACCTACTTTAAAGCTGGTACAGTAGCCAAGCTTAAGTTGAGGCTGTTTAACTGCATGGTAATCTTGTCCAGGCTCTGGCATGAGGTCAGGATTTCAGGGAGTACAAGGATGATGGAGAATCACCTTTTGTTAATATTTTGATGAAAATGCATTATTTTAGTGCATTCTCAACAAAGCCGAGCAAGGGGAGAGGGCTCCGCTGTGTAAATGGTGAAACATTACCCCAGAGTCATAAACACGTATGTGTCCGTCGTCCTCCTTTCCCGTCCATCTTGTTTTCTCTCTGTCTGGAGCTCCTCCTTCCCGCTTGGGCAGCCCTCGCCGGCTAACTGCTGGAGCCCCCCCTCCTTGTCCTCTCTCCGTCCGCGGACAGCTCCCACTCTGCGTTGCCTCCTCCGTCCTGACGGATTCCCCTGGGGACACACAAAGAAGCCCATTTTCCCTTGTTCGGGCCCTGACACATTTCGGCAGAGAAGCTTCTGTGGAAATCAGAGCAGCCGTTACTACTTCGGTGGAATGAGGGGTGACTGGAAGGCAGCATGAAGAACTTTCTGGAAGGATGGGAGTGTTCTGGATCTTGACTGCGATGTGCTCCCGTGGATCTACGTGTCTGTCACAGGACGTCAAACTGCTGGTCTGCTTTTCTGTTTGCCTCAGTAGATGGTCAGCTCGTGAGAGCTGGGGCTGTGTCGTCTTCTGGCCGTTGTGTATTTAGACCTAGCGTGGGGTCTGGACCCTAACGGGTCTGTGATAAGCACTGAGCAGCAGGCAGGGGGAGAAGAAGAAAAGCAGGAGGGAAAAGATGGAAAAGCCAGGTCTCCGCCTTTGCCCGCTTCAGGTGGAAAAGCATCCTGCTATGTGTCACACCTGAGCCCAGCTGCCGGGTCCATGACCCTGAGGCCTGAAGGTCACGGACACGTGCGACCCATCGAAGCAGTAATTCAAATACCGTGTCACTGATGAAAGCCCAGATCGATAGCATGCGTTTACATCTGCTTGAAATAACAGGTCACTCCGGTCGTGTTCCCTGGGTCCGAGCAGTCTCCGGCCGGGACCTCCATCCCTGCTCACAGCCGACCACGGCGGGACTCGCCCGGTGCCACCGTTCAGAAAGAGATGCGTCGGGGTGTGGCGAGGGTGGGGTCACGTCGTGTGGAAGGAATCCTGCAAATATAAATTCATTTTTATTTTTTTATTTATTTTTTTAAACACATTTCTTCTTTTTTTTAATATTTTATTTATTTATTCATGACAGACAGAGAGAGAGAGAGAGAGAGAGAGGCAGAGGGAGAAGCAGGCTCCCGAGGAGCAGGGAGCCCGATGCGGGACTCGATCCCAGGACCCTGGGATCATGACCTGAGCCGAAGGCAGACGCTTAACCATCTGAGCCACCCAGGTGCCCCTATAAATTCATTTTTAAAGGCATAGGAAATAGACCTCTACCAAAATGATAATGGTCTTTTTTTAATTTTACTTTTGTATTTAGGAATCCCTGTGCTTCAGTAAACTTTGCACATGTAAGCTGATAAGTTTAACACTTGTATACAAATGTGAAACCATCACTGTAATCAAGATAGTGAGCATATGTATTGGCCCTTAAAATCTCCTCAAATTGTCCCCTACCTCACCTGCCACCACGGAAAGGCAACCACAGTGATCTAGATTAGTTTGCACCTTCTATAATTTTATGTGAATAGAATCATACAGACATCCATTTTTTATCTGATTTCTTTTAATCAGTAATTATTTTGAGATGCATCAATATGGTGGTGTTTACCAATAGTTGACACCTATTTATTGCTGAGAAGTTTCCACTGTTTGGATATAACATAACTCATTCATCCACTCGCTATTTGATGGTCACTTTGGTGATTTCGGGTTTGTGCTTATTACAAATAAAGCTTCCATAGCGATACGTATAGAAAGTCTATTTGTGGACAGGTGTTTCCGTTTCTTGAGGGGTAAATACCTGGGAGCGGAATGGCTGGGTCATTTGGAAGGTTTACACTGAACTTTTAAGAAAGAAACTGTCCCCCAAAGTGGGTGTAGCACTTTACATCTTCACCGGCAATTCTTGGTACTTGTCACCTTCGAAAACAATTGTTTGAGTTGTCCTTTTAAATCGAGACATTCTCGAGGAGGTGCAGTGGTAACTGGTGGTTTTAATAATAGTTCCCTTAATAACTAAGACAGCGAGGATCTTCCCACATGCTTATTCGCTGTATCATAGTGAAGTGTCCAAATTTCTTACCTGTTTTTATATTGGGTCACTTGTTTTCTTACTGAGATGTAAGAGTTCTTTATGTATTTTTTAAAGTCCTTTGTCAGATTGATGTTTTCCAAGTGTCTTATCTTAGGTCAAGATGTGTCTTTCCATTTTCACAAGAATGTCTTATGAAGAGCATAAGTTTTAAATTTTTTATGAAGTTACTTTAATAATTTTTCTTTTATAGTTCAAGCTTTTTGTATCCTCATACAAAATCTTTGCCACACTCAGGAATACCGAGAATCTCTCTTATGTTTTCTTAAGTTTTAGGTCTTATGATCATTTAGGTCTATGATCATTTTCTTGTGAATTTCTGTGCCCGAAGGGAGCAAAGGATCAAGGCTCATTTGTTTTGTATATGGATGTCCACTTGCTCCACATCAATCAATGAAAATATTTTTTTCCTCAATGAATTGTTGTGACCACTTTGTCAAAAATCTATTGACTGCATAATTATGTGTCTATTTCTGAGTCTGTAGTCTGTTCCAATGATCTATATGCCTATTTTATATCATTACAATATTTTGAACATTATAGCTTCATAATATCTTAAAATCAAGTAACAAGCATTCCAACACCAGTTTTGGAATGTGTATGGCCTTTTTTGTGTGTGTTTTTCTTTTTTTGTTGTTGTTGTTCACTCTTCTAAGTCCTCAGATTTTCTACACAAGTTTTAGGATAAGTTGTTAAAATTTCTGCCAAAAAAAGAAAAAAAATAGCCTGCTAGTATTTTGATTAGGATTGCGTTGTTTTGATGGATCGGTTTGGGGAGAAAGGACATTTTGACAATAGTAAGTTTTCTAATTCATAAGCATGGTAGTCGCTCCGCATATTTGGGTCTTCCTCAGTTTCTCTCAGGAATTTTCCGTAGAGCTCTCGAACATGTATCTTGCACACCTCTTGAGACCCGAACTGTTGAATGAGGATCATAAAAGTCTGGATTAAGTCCGCAGGTGCCGATAGGGTGCAGCATGAGCACACAGTGGACCACCTGCGCACCTGTCAAAGGGCCAAGGGCCATCTTGCAAAGAAGACAAAAAACGTGCTAAGATTGGATGTTTATTTTAAGGACCATTTAGCCACACCATATGTTGGCAGTCTACGGTGATTCCAAACCTGCTACTTAACCACGATGCTGTTCTTCCCCCAAATCAGGCGCAGTGATGCTCAAACTAACAGTGGGCTGGTAGGGTTTGCTTGCTTGGCTGTTACTGATTTTCAGTTCAGGAATTAATTTTAAAATATTTTGGAATATAAGTAAAAATAACTTCATTGGCTTCTCCACCCTCCCTAGAACCTTGTCATCACTCACACTTTGCAGTACCTTGTATTAAGTCTGTGATCCTTTATACAATTACTCTCTCCTTCAAATAATACTTTCTAAATGGAATTGCTAACATACAACACTTTGTAGGACCTTCTTTAAGAAACTAGACTGGAACACCTTCATTCCTTAAATATGAAAAGGTTAGAGAAAGATCTATGGTACATTTTGGGTGATGAATTTCTAACAGTACACCCAGAAGTTAGATAAATAAATGACTTACCATGTGTTACAGTAAAATAGAGCTCGGTCAGAATAATCTCCGTAATGCTCTTGATGCCATTGTGTGAAAAAGGCACATTCTGTTCTCTCCTGTGGTATAAATTTCCTCTCCTTGGTGGACTCCCCAGAGTCGACTCTGACACTTCAAAGGCATGGCTCAAATGCATGTTTCTCCATTTGGAAACTTTAAAGAATTTTGTCACTTTCATGTTATTTAAGTTATTTATCTTGGCTGTTTCTCATGAAACAGAAGGTGACCCATCCATTCCTGGCAGCTGATAAAGTTCTAAATATTGTTAATTTTAAGGCGATTTCTGTCTTAGCTGATCTATAAAGAAAAGCAGTTGTTTTCTTTCTCTTGATATCTCCCTCAGCTTTCTCAAGGTCACCTTGACAGTTTTCAGGACAGACAGACGGAGGAGGCAGGAGGGAGAGAGGGGCCCTGGGCAGTCCACCTTGCTGCCCCCCACAGGACGGGGAACGAGGCCCATGCACAAGGATGCAGGGTACCTCCGAAGTCCTCTGGGATCGCAGAGAGCAAGCCTGAAAAGGAGGCTTGCGGGGTGCATGGTGATAGGCAGGACGCATCTCCTGCAGGGGTGCTCCCCGCGGCCCCTGTGGGTGCAGGGAGAACTGGCCGCGGGCGGGGCGGCTGAGCTACTCCGTGTGCACCTGCGCGGCTAGTCCTGCGTCCTCACTCAGCTGTCTGCGGGTGCGGGGCTCTCCGTGAAGCCTCGGTACTTAGCGGGAGACTCCGTTCTCGCACACACTGGCGTTTCCAGGGCAGTTCGAACCAGGTGTCACTTAGAGTTTCGTAAAGCCTACCTGAAATTCCCCGTCTCTGTGAGTAGCTCAGGAATGGAATTGCCTTTCACGGTGACCTCTCGTTCTCAGATTGGCATGAGCGTGTGCTCCCTGAGCAGCTGAGAGCCCTTCCTCCGCCGAGCACACGCGTGGGGGGCTTGTGTTCACACCTGAGAGGGCTCCCAGGTATGGGGCTGCCTCTTGTGAGCTGCCTGGACTTGACTTCCCCTGTTTGGGGGGTAATTAGAACGCACGGGCTTCCCTAGAGCTCAGATACACTGTTTCCATCCTTCAGAACCCTCAAAACCATCAGCACTTGAATCACGGCGGTCTGGGACTAAGCGGGGCTTGCGTGGAAATGCAATGCGTGTGTAATTGCCCAGCAGCAAGCCTAGGCCCCAGCTCCCGCTCGGGAAGTGGATGCTCTCTTCGGGAGCGAGATCACACTCCGCGCTCCGGCCCAACACAGCTGCTGCTTCCCTGTAGGATGACCGTGCTCTCGCAATAGGAAAAGATTTCTGGTGAAGGTCTGCCGGTTTTAGCAAGGTCTTTAAAAAGTTTGCAAGTACTGCTAGTCTTAAACATACACTGGAATTAATATCAACATCCACTCAACAGACTGTAAAATCTACATCTGGGCAGAACAGTTGCTGGAGGAAAGGTGTGCTCAGAGAATACTAAATTCGCGTACCTATACCCCGTTTTTATTTTTTAAAGATTTTTATTCATTTATTTGACAGACACAGCGAGAGGGACACAAGCAGGGGGAGCGGGAGAGGGAGAAGCAGGCTTCCCATGGAGCAGGGAGCCCGATGTGGGGCTCGATCCCAGGACCCTGGGATCATGACCTGAGCCGAAGGCAGATGCTTAACAACTGAGCCACCCAGGCGCCCCCCTATACCCTATTTCTAAAAACCATTTCGAATGTGTCTTAATATATAAGTTTCTGACTTTGATGTTTTGAGCTGCTCGTTTGAAAACCTGACCTTTGCTGATCTGTCCACACAACTGCTGATAGGAGAGGTCAGATAAATGCCCTAAGCAATTAAAGAAGGAGACGTCAGGGCACACTGGGGGAGAAGCCACACCAGGTGTTGCAGAAAGCATTCTATAACAGAGGGAGAACCTAACCAGCAAAACAGGGAAGACGGGGGTGACCCCGGCCTGGACATCCCCCGAGGCAGCGCCCACTCCCCGAGGCCGGGCAGGGGTCAGGGAGGAGCTGAGCTGCGCATCGGAACCGGCTTTGCGGGCGTGTGACAAACCCACGCGCTGACCCCGGGCTCACAAGGGCCCCACACTGCGTTGGACGCTCTGAGGTCACGGTCTCGTCATTCTTAGTTTTTTAGCAAAAAGCACCCCATCTTTATTTTGTGCTTGCTCTACAATTAAGGAGCTGGTTTTGGTTTGAATTACACAAAATTACTGTCTTTAGATCAAATTGTGCAAATGCCAGCAATTCCCTATGCTTCAAGGTCATCAGGGCTCGTAGAGGGGCCCTGGGACCGGGGCGCCAGGATTGGCCGGTCCCAGGGTCTGTGAGGGGTC